TTATCACTGAAGTTGAGATATTCTGTACTGGCACCATAAAAAAAATTAAATAAAGTCTTTTTTTAGTCTTCAAACACTTTTAGAAAATAATAAAAACAACTAAACAAGACTGGGGTTTACGTCTTTGTAGCATACAAAAATATCTGTTTCATTGCAATATCTTAAATTCTAGCTTAATCTCTCAAACCCCTATGAATAAAGCATTGGATTACCAAGTAATACCCTTCATCACAAGGAATTAGGCACTTTAGCTTTAGGCTCCATCTAAACCACTGCGTTAGGAGAGATGCTACTGACGTCACATTTTCCAAGTTGCAGTTGACTCACATGGTGCCTTCCCTCACCCTTTAAAATCTTGCTGAGATAAAATATGTTTCTCGTGACTCTCTTAATTCTCTCATTTTGGGTGGCTTTGTAGCACCAGCATGCTATGGTTTTGTAGCTAAGAGACAAGAGTAGGAAACTTGGTTCCTGTTCACATGCCTGCCAGTGAGGTTGTAACAGAGCTTTGGCAAATTGTGTGATTTCTTTCATCTATAAGATTAATAAATTAGAATAATATTTTACTTGCAAGAAGAGTGTTTTTAATTAGGGCCTTGATCTGCCGATGTCTGTCTAAAATATGCAAAAATTTTAAGGATGTCCAGCTCATGATTCCCTCCTCCTTTTTCTCCAGCTATCATATTTTAAAACTTGCTGTGGTACCTGTATCATTATTTGTGAGAATTCTGTTAGAATTCATAGAATAAAATGGATGGAATGTGTGTGTCTACTCAAATCCCTCTTGCGTCCCCACTTCAGCTGGCTAGCAATGAGGAATGCAGCTGGCACCTGGTCAGAAAGGGTCCAACAAATTCCTGATTTTCAAAGGTAGTATCGCTGTTTAAGGCAAAGGAGGTGTAGGAGTCACCAATGTGGCCCCAAACCATCATTCAGACCTTAGTGTTTACAAAGAATTATATTCTTGCTAAATGTTGTTAAAACAGACGCCAGTCTGAACCAATTTGCTTTATGACACTTGCTGTGTAATCTTATCCTCTGAAAGGATTTCTGATTGCATTAATTTTTCTTCCTTTTTTACTATTACATATGATAGTATGTTGCATCTACAGTAAGCGTGAATTCCTTAGATTTAGTATGTCCCCATAATCTGGATAATTGCATTTGTGAAGCCATTTTAGTTGAGCATTTTATGGTTTGCTGGACAGCTCTTTATCTTGCAGATTATTGATGCTGCAGTCCATAACAGAAATGGTGTGAGTTATGTTGGATTGATTTTTTTACTTTACCACATCATCGAGCAGGTGTTGACTACTCTATTTACAAAATTGTCACTTGATGTCACACTTCCCTAGGAGTTGTAACACCCTGTCATCATATACTTAAGAAAGTACTTATCTGTAGAAGATATAATTAGACAAATTATTATGGATCCATCGTGGATCTGCATTTTTTCTGGTGTGTTATTTTAAAATAGTAGAAGTCAAACTGACATTATAGTCTGCAACACAACTGCAGCTTTCACCAGAGAGGTCATTAGCCTGAAAGTTGGAATATAAGGTTTGCAGTCCATCTTGCACCTCAAACAGCAGGGTTCTGTTTACCTTTGGCACTGTTGTAAATAAGAACCTTTCTGGTCCGCTGAGTGATTATTTAAATAGAAAGGGCTTTTATAAAGCATTTTAAGCATCCAGGACAGAATATCTTCTTTATGTTTCTTTTTCTTCTTTAATGATAATTACATAATTGAACAGGTTTTAAGTTTTGTTTTGTTTTGTTTTTCAATCTGATATGTAGATGCCAGAATCTCTTCTGAGCATTCTTACCAAAGAGTCCTAAAAATCATTCAGGAAAACAAATCTGCTAGGCTTCCCCCTATTATCAACACCCCAAAATGCCTTTGGCAATGAGTAAATGCCAAGCATTTGTTATTTGGCACTTGACTAGTCACTCATTTATTTAAACTCAAACATGTTGCATAAGATTCTGAAAGTTATGCTAAGCTAATAGTTAAAAACAACAAAAAAAAATAACCTCCCTTGATCCAACCTTTCCAATTTCCATCTAAATAGTACCATCAGGGCAAAAAATACACAGGACCATATATCCCATGAAACATAATTGCCTGGTGTTGGCAAAACATGCAGTTGGCTGTGAGCAATTGCAGGGGTGTTATTCTTACACTCAGAAAGCCAGATGTGTGTTTCTGCAGTAAACCAGCTCCTTCTCCTTCTGTCCTTCCCCCCCCCCCCCCTTTCTATTAGTCAGGTTTTGGTGATCTTTTCCTGGTATCAGTACATGCATATTTATTAAGCATTGTTTGCTGTCTAGAAGATTCTACGTAAGATTTCCAAGATACAGCTTTCCTTGCACACCCGGACACAGTAGTCAAAAGGTGTTTTCTGTTGCAGTACTGCCATCCTTTTTAATGCATGTGCTTACTGACTCTTCCTTCTCTGTAGTATTTGGGTACCAACTACTTGGTTTCGCTTTTGAAGCTCTTTATAATCTTGTCCCCACCCAACCTGATTTTTCTCATTCTATTTCGGAATTTGATTCCTATCTTCAGTCAGCTTCTGTTACAAGCGCCTGTCACCACCTTAGTAGATTTTTCAGACTTAACGCTTACTTGCTTGCCCCAGGGTTGGGGGAAAAAATGGGAAAAAATATCTGCAAAACTATCCCGTCTTTATCTGTTCCTTTATTAAAATTCTTCTTTGCCATGGTGCCTACCAAAAATGCATGGCTGCAAATCTGACATGCTACGACTACTCTTAGTCCTGCTGATCGGGAATCTAGGCCGAGGAAAGAATTTTCTTATCATTAATAAACAAAAAATATGTGTGGTAAAAAGTGAGCTAGTTAAGCCATGTATTTTAATGCCTGCCTTACTGCTTCTGACCTGTACAGTATACTCTGAGTCGGCAGTGTCGTATTGCTTGTGTACCCCAGTTAAAAATATGCTGATAGTAGGAACTTAAATCAGTTGCAAGGGCTTGATTTGAAGAAGCAGAAATCTAAAAGGTAAGAGAAAATTGAATAATGGGATTTTTATTCTGATTCTAGGGTGGCATTGCTTTGTAAAACTGTATTTCTCTCTTCTATGCCCCGTATCACTGTTCTATTTTCTATTAAGTAGGACAGAAATGCCCTTCTGTCTCTGGATGCCCTGCACAATGTTTAAAGTACACATCAAACTACTTAATTTCCTTAATTTTGGCTCCCTGAGAGCCCCAAATTTTAATTGAACTTATACCAGTAAATATTCTTAGGCAATTTTCATCCATTCAAGATGTCAAAAATAAAGATGGGTTTTGAAGCATGGTGTAAATCCTCTCTTTTGCTTATTTGGTGAATGGCTTTTATCCAGTGCTGCTTAATATTATTTACATTCTAGGTTTGAAACTTGAAATATTATAAATGGGAATTCTGCCTTCATTAGCTGTCTAGCTTTGCTCCTCTTACTGGGTAATGTCACAGTTTCAATTTATGGAGAGTGCATTCATTGGTGATACCATTCTCAGGGTTGATGAAGTTTGATTAATATGAGTACTTGTTTTTTAAAAATAATTTACCTTTTATATTATCAAAACCTGTGTTAAAAACTCAACTTACTAGAAGTTGTTTAAATGACTTAAATTACGTTTTAAAAGTATGCAAGCTGTATGTATACTGCCAAGCTTTTTTCATAAGATCAGGCCCCTAACAACGGGACGTCTTTGGTTAATCGTGACATTTGCTAAATACCTCAGGTCAGAATTTCCCAACTGGTAAGACAACATTTGAAAGATATTGCCTGTCTTCAGAGGAAAGATGCAAAACTGTTTTTCTTATTTCATACATTCAATTAGTATTGCTTCCTTCAAAGCTGAGAATTGGAATTTAAAAACAATGATGTTAATTATGATTAGTTTATATTGTGCTTAAGTAGTAAGAAACATTTAATAGGAAATCATATCAGGAGTTTTGTGGGCTGTAGGTGAATGAAATTGAACTGCAGCTTGAAATAAATAATGAGTATTAAATACCTAAATATTAAAGGAAAGTAATTTGACTTACTATCTTTAATAAACTGAAAAGTACAAATTTGAAACAATATTCAACCATATGAAGAGTATTTTAATTGATTTAAATCAACCCATTTTGTTTTAAAGTTCAGCAAATAATATTTTATAGCAAACAAATGTTTTCTGCTCTTAAATACAGGGTGCCTTTGCCATTGTACCTCCATCACATGACTTTTTTTTTTTAAAGGATTTTGGCAATTCAAGCAAATTTAACCTCAGTGATAAAATACTAGATGTAATGATATTTTAGAGCAGCCTAGAGATCTCTAACTGCTAAACATCATTTGCAAGGTTCTGAAAACATAAATAAATAGAAATAATAGTGTGAATGGATTATAAAATGAAAGAAACTCCAAACTATATTTCTCAATGCAAGGCCTAAAATTCATACTAGAAATGTGTTTCATGACAACATTAGTCATGTGCATTAAATGGTCAGCATATCGATTTTGTTTGCAGAAATACCAGTCCTTTCTTGTTGGAGTTGCCGTAGATCCATAGTCTTTAACAGACTATCAGAAATGCTAAATTAAACAAAAAAAGGGAAATAATATAGACTGTAAGGCAAAACTGGTTTGAGAAAATCTGCTTTAAAGTTCTAATAACTGTTACATATGTTTTCTGTCTTTTGTTTTTTCAGATTTCCTTTTTGCCTCCGGAGTGTTTCGTTATGGCAGCCTCCAGTGAACAATGACATCCTTTGACAAATACAGATGCCAAAAAGCCAGACGAAAACAGTGGCCTTGTTTCATTTTCACTCCAACACAGTGAAATGGTGCTCTTAAGCTTTTGTTATTGACTCTCACTGGAAAAAAAAACCAAACAAACTCCTGACTGGACCTTTTCCCCCAGCCCTCTCCTAGAGTTCGTATGGATGCTTGAGACAGTGACATCATGTAGTAGGCCCTGAAGTGTTGCCATAATTAAGTTGCAATGGTTTTATACACTTCCCCATTTCCCAACAGCTTTCTGTCAGTTCTGCATTCTTTTTCCTGGGGCCTGATTTTCCCATGTTACTGGTTAGCAGATAGGCTTGTGGCCTCTTTTGTTCCAACCACCTATGAAAAACGTCAAAGAGCAGATGATCCATGCTATTTTCATGCACTCTGCATCATTATTACCACTCCCATCTACTTGGCACTGTTGGTAGCCTCTCTTCCTTTTGCTCTGATTGGCTTCTTGTTATGGTCCCCACTCCAGTCAGCCAGAAGGCCATATATCTACTCCAGACTAGAAGATAAGACCCATGCCAATGGAGCCACGCTGCTCACTGAATGGAAGGCTGCAGGGAACGGGAAAAGCTTCTGCTTTGGCAGTGCCAATGTTTGCCTGCTGCCAGATTCTCTGGCAAGATTTAATAATGTTTTCAATACACAGGCTAGGGCTAAAGAGATTGGCCGGAGGATCCGAAATGGGGCAAGCAGACCACAGATCAAAATATATATAGATTCTCCTACCAACACATCCATCAGTGCAGCAAGTTTTAGCAGCTTGGTCTCCCCCCAGGGTGGAGATAACACTAATCGTACTGTTAATGCTGGCATCAAAAGGACAACATCAATGGAGTATAAAGTAGACAATTCTGGCTCAAACAACAGCGAGGATAGAGAAGGGGGAGCTGGAGATCCAAATGAGGGAGAAGAAAACACTTGCATTGTCCGCATAAACGGAGAGGATAATGGCCACATGTCAGACACAGAAACAGATACCGTCAATGGCCAGGCTCATGCCAGTGGCCCAACAGAGCCCTCACTGGAAGGTGATGCAGAGATCTCAAGAACACCTAACCACAAACAGAAGGAAGGAGATTCTGGGAGTTTAGACAGCTACTCTGCCTCACGAGAGTCCTTAGTTAAAGTTCGTGTTGGAGATGGTACAGTGGACCAAAGCACTGTCAACAACAAGCTCCTCTACAAAGCTTCAATCATGAAGAAGACTTCAGTGCGGAAAAAGAAACATACAGATGAGACCTTTGATCATGAGATCTCTGCTTTCTTCCCTGCCAACTTGGACTTTCTGTGTTTGCAGGAAGTGTTTGACAAAAGAGCTGCAGAGAAATTGAAAGACCAGCTTCATCACTATTTTGAATACATTGTTTATGATGTTGGGGTCTACAGTTGCCATGGCTGCTGTAGTTTTAAGTTTGTGAACAGTGGTCTACTTTTTGCTAGCCGCTATCCTGTTATGGATGCTGCCTATCACTGTTACCCCAACGGAAGAGGAACAGACTCCTTGGCTTCCAAGGGAGCCTTGTTTCTCAAGGTAAGAGCCTTTTTGAAGCCATGAATACTCTCTATACATGACAAGTTACAATGTTATTTTCTCCCAGTCATTTCTGTTAAGAGTTCAAAGAGGCAATATTCAGATCTGGATTACCTGATACAACCTATATATAGGTTTTGTGGCCTAGATACTGTGTTAAAGTGACGGATGTGCATGAAATAATGAGGGACTTTTGGAGGTAGGACCTGAATACAATTTCAAATGTCAAAATTTGAAGTAGTTTTCATATTATTTTAGTTTCTTTTTTACAGAAATCTCTTTAATGCACAAATGCTAAGCTTCATAACACGAGTATAGTACAATGGGCATTACTGTTGGAAACCAGCTTATGCATGTTGTTTGTTTATGTGGGAATCAAAAGTCTAAATGCCCATAGAATAAAACTGAAAGAATTGCAATGAAATAAATGGCTATCCCTCTCTCTTGATTGCAAAAAAATTGTTAAGGAGATATACAAAAAAGAGTAAACAAAAAAAAATGCCTGGGACGCTGGGGAGCACAGAGGTTTTTCACCTTATTAACACAGTTTACTTAAATTAGCTAATGGTAGTGCGAACAGGAAGCTTAGGGTTTTATTTCTGTAAGTCATGAAAAGCAGAAATAAAAGTCTGTGCCCAGTGACTTGCTTTTCAAAGACCGGTGGCTGTTTATGCTTAATTCTTGGGAGAATCTGGCTGTTCTGTTCATAAGCTGGAAAGCAAGCCTTTCTAATTAATCAAGAACCAAAACTTTGTGCAGAGCCCTGTAGACCCAAACCTTAGATCCAAAAACCTGCTGGGATACTGGAGTTCAGATTTTGCGAATTTGTCACAGTTTGGAATGGGTTTCACTACCTAAAAACGGAACTTTTTTCCTAATGCTAGCAAAATACATTAGGTGCTCAAATTACATACATGCTTTCTAGTGCATATGCTCATGAGTCGTCAACAAAAGCCATTAATGGCCATTAAGAATATGGATTGTTAATAAGGATCAGTGGGATTTTTTGTACCCACTGTTTGCAATTTATAAACGAAGCAAAAACGTTTGGTATTATGGCTTGTATAAAAAAAGGCAAATTATTACAATTTTCACTCTGATAGTAGCCCCATATTTCATACACATTTGACATAAACTAAAGCCTAGCCATATCTGAATACAGGTTTCAAAAAATTGGGTCCAAGCTTTCTACACCATGTTCTATTCATGTGTTTATGAACAGCTAAAGTTTGGATTTTTTCATCATGAAGTTCTGCATGAAAAAAATGAACATACATGTTGTGCAGTATAAATATTACCAGGGTCATAAGACTACCCTTCAACATATGCATATATTAGAGATTAAGAGATTAAAACCAATCTGCTTTCAGCTGCCCATTGCTGAGTCATTGATTTGTCCCCCTGCTAGGCAGGCCACAATGTCTCCACTTCTCTTGCAGAAAATTAAGCCTCTTTTCAAAATTCCACTGGGATGATGAACTTAATTATGAATTCAAGTTGTTAAATAATGTTACAGTTGAGCAGGGAATAGGGACCAATTATTACAAAGATTCAAAGACGGCTACATTCTTTTAAATATGACAATTCTGGCCCAGCTAAAAGACCATTTTTCCTCATGTCTGTGTCATTCTGACATTCTGTACTTTATACCTAAAATTGTTTTCATTTTGAGTTGTCTATCCTGACAGGAAATGACTTCCTGTCTGAATTGTACATTAAACGATTGTTGGTCATTTCTTTCTTTCACCAAAAAAAAAAAAAAGTAGGAATGATTTATTTAATTTTAGCTTTGACACAAAGTAAATTTGAAGGTTGTTTTTCTTGATGTAGTGCTTAATCAGGAACTGAGCATGCATGGACTCTGGAGACAAAAGCTACAGTGAGTGAAAGCCTGGTTTGTTTTGAAGTCAGTGAAATTCAATCCATTAACTTGAGAATTCTTGAGGTCTTACACTGGGATAGCAGTAAGCTAGCAAAGCGTATCCGAACTGTGCCTGGAAGGTGTCATTCTAGCCAGGACTCTGCCATTCCAAATGGACAGCTGACATCACTGCTTTTAGATACTTCTTTTACTGGCTCTTACAATATTTTGTATGTATATAGTGCAATCCAGCCCTACATTAGACTTTACCTCAGTGTGGTTTCAAAGACAGGAAGAGAGCCTTGCAGAACAAGAGTCTCCCAGTTGCTTTCCATTCAGTAGTGGCGTGGAATTAAGTGTCTCTATTCTATGCAGACTCTGTGTTTTTAAGTTCCTGACTCATGTGGAAAGCACAGTGCTCCCATTTCTGAATTAGAAAAGACATCAATTGAATTTTGTTTTGGAAGTATACTTATGAAAACTGTTCCCCCTGCGTGGCTTCCATCTCTGAGTAAAGGAGCAATTGCTCTCTATGTTGTCTAAAAAAAAAAAAGTTGCAGAGAGGAAGTGAGGGGAGAAGACTTGCATATTTTGAAAATATGGATAAAATCACTTAATGTTTCCACTCATCGGGAGGGTGAAGCCTTTATTCAAATCCTTCTGAACTTCAGGAAAGACCCAGCATCGAAATTCAGAAGAATGTTCAGAGAAAGAAACTGATCCTCATTTAATGAGTAGAGTTTGTTTCCTTTCTTACAAATACTGCTGTTAAGGAGATAAATTAAAAGGTCTCAGAACTAAAAATTTAATGGAAGTTGAATTATTTTGAACAAAAAGGCAAAACTGTTTGGGGGGAGTTGTGTTACAAAACAGATCCCCTACTGCCAAGGTACAAGTGCTTCACACATTTTATTCCTTTCAGAATAGAGCCCCCCCTCTTCCCTGCCCTGCCTTTACCATCTACACTGTAAAGTTCAAGTGGAGATTTGGAGGGATTTGAAAGATTTGCTTAGTCATACAGAATTATTTTACCTGAGAGACTTACACAGCTCAAGGGTTATTATTAGTAGCTATAATAACAATCAGCTCTTACGTACTGCTTTTCATTCGTATGTCTCAGAGTGCATAATATAGAAAGGTCAATATCTGCTTAACAGAGGAAGAAACTAAAGTGCAGGAAGGTAAAGTGATTTGATTGTGTCTTAACACCTGGGGTGTCACAGCCAAGGAAAGAAGTTGGAAGTAAATTACAGAGGCTTTTAACACTGTTTTATGCTACCTAACAGATGTCTGGAGACCTGTGCAAAGGAATTTTGCTAGCCTTGGTCGATTCTCTTCCTAAAGATGTCTGCCACAAAAGGTGCTGCTGCTGGCATTTTCTGACCGAGATCACAGACTGTTTTTTCTGCCTGTATAGGCTGATGCTTTCCAAGTCGAGATGAAGGCATGAGGATGACATAGTTGCAAGTAGCTGTTGTGTAAAGCCCTATTTCTGAATAACTAGAGGACTAATTTACATTCAGCACTTTGATCTCTTCAAACTCCAGTGGTGTTTCTGCCTCCAGTCTGAGGGTCTCATTGGGACATAAGAGGGACAGAGACACAGAAAAAATGGCATATAAGAAGGGGGGAAATGTCACTTGCATCTAAGTGACAGTTTCATGTCTGAAGTGTTAAACCACTGTTCCTAGTTGCTGCTAAAAACTCAGAGGAAAAGTTAGCAAATACATAAATCAGCCAACCCATTTTCATACTTGGACAGTCTGGGCCCTTGGGAGACTCTGCCGTGACTCTCTGTTCTAGCATTGCACTTTGCATTAATTTAAAACGCCTAAGAAAAGAACCCTTGAGTCTGCTTTGTAGGTTTTATAACTCCAATTGTCTCTTACTGCTGCTCTGCTACAGATAGAGGAGGGAAGTGGGACTGACACAGATGCTATCCCGTGCTGGTGATTCGAACGAAAAAGCTAGCTTGTATGTATCTGTGTATACCGTGATGCAGATTGCAGTGTTCTCGGTTACTCTGCAGCTGTTGGTTCGACACGTGCGTGATTTTAATTCACAGTGGTTTTGATTAATTTAAAGGGAGTTTTAAAATAAAAATCCCTTTCAGAAACTGGATGATTTTGCAGTCAAATCAAGTTTAAAAGGTATCAATGAGTGCTGAGCAGAAATTGTGTAATGCATCACCTGTTTGTAATTTATTAGGTTTCAAAATGTCAACATTCATCTTTAGACAGAGGGATTAGTATGTAGCCTTAGTTACACTGTCTTTCAGGGATGCTGTGTAAGTTTTGGACAGCAGTGTAATAAAAGCAGAAAACATCCTTAACTTGACCTGATGAGTTACTGAATTGGAGAGCTTGTCCATATTTTTCCAGATGTATCAATTTAATAAAAACTGTCACTTCTGCTGACAAATCTTGCCTCTCCCTTATCCTTAAATGGCAATACCTACAACTGTAACGTAAATCTCAGCCATACAAGACATGTAAAGGCTTATCTGGGGCAGGGAGGTGAGTGAAAGAGGCATCATTCTCAAAATGGCTATTAACTGAGGAGCAGTTTTGGAGTGGTTTTCCTCCCACTGAGCCTGGGAGACGTGGAAGTATGATGCATAGAAGGCTGTTCTTCCTACTGTTCTTAGTAGGAAATTATTTTGGGTTTTGGCATCTGCCAAGAGAGAGAATCTTAGCAAAAATAAGAATTCTTGCTTAAAACAGAGTATGTGAACATAGAGCAAAAGCAAAACCGCAGTCTGCTGTTTGAACAGCTAAGAGTATTCTAACTAAATTGAAAGAAATCAAAAGGAAAAAATACGACTTGTGGGTTTTGCTAAATTTCTGAAAGAACTTGTGTTTAATTAATATTAATTCCTAAGCTTACTAACAGATTTACTTTTCAAATTCTCTGAAAATTACTGCTGTTCTCAGGAAGTACAGTAATTGTGCAGAGAACATGTTATTATTCATTGCTTAAAGGAAACCTAGCAACCTTTGCTTTATGTGCAAAGCTAAACTTGTTTTCAAAAGAGCTGATATGGTGGTAACAGATGGTAGAAGGAGCAGTAGCGCTGATTGCAGAACTGCTTTGAAGCACAGTTTTTACTATTTGCTACTCTCGAGGTGCCTGATTTGTA